AAATATTTTTGTAATTTTAAATTTTATTTTTTTCTCTTAAAATAAAAGAATCGTCTCATTAGATTAATTTGAGTTTCAAAAATATTTTCAAGTCTAGATTTTATCTGTTGCCTTTAATATTTTTTGTGTTTGTGAAACATTTTTCTGTTTTTTAAAATTCTTTTACTATGAATTTTTTTCCCCCATTTAATAAAAAGTTTTTGTATTTTATGAAACGTTTATTTTCCTTTCTGTTATAATTGTGCCGTTGGTCGTTTGTTTAGATTTTTACTCTCCAAGTTTCTCTTTAAACTCTTTATCCAACCCAGAGATAATTCGTGACTCCTCCTGAAGTTGTTTTGACTCTAATTAGAATTATTGAAGGTGTAAATATTGAATATTTTCATGATGAGGTTATTGGCTAATGTTTTATTGATGCAAACAGAACAAACTAGAATAATTACGGTTTCCTGTGATCCCAGGAGAGGTTTCATTTTCAGGTGTTTTTGACGTGTAACGAGCTCTGTTGTGTGATGATGAAGAACTTATTGGTTGATTCTCGTTGTTCTGAAGAGGAGGAGGAGGAGGAGGCGTTCGGGTTATTTTGATCTCAGGAAATGATTAAACAGGAAGCAGAAAGTGTTATAACCACACCGCAAAATAATCCTGGTGTGATTGTGAAATAAACAAAATAATTACAGCTGTGACGGTTCAGGCTCCTGCTTAAAATGTGAACGTGTGAAAAGTGACAAACACGGATCTCACCTGATATAGATATCATGTATAAACACACACACACACACACACACACACACACACACACACACACACAGACAATTATCGTGTGTTTCCAGGACAATGTGATCTAACCTGTCGTTCAGGTGAGCGGTAACCAGAAAACACAAAAACACTAATTATAAGAATGTTTGGAGTACAAACAGCCGGAGGTCTCAGACAGGACGTCAGTTTTCAGCAGGTAACAGCGACCATGGTTACGTGTCGAGCTCGTCTGTCACCGACCAGCACCTGCTCCCAAAACGGCCGAGACGCTGGAGTCAGGAATAAAAAACAGAGTGAGACATCTGTCCATGAGGGACACCTGGATGATCTCGACTTCATCAGACGTTTCATCTCTTACTTTGGATTAATAATCTCCTCAGTAACTAGATACCTCACAGACACTCCAAACTGACAGAGCAGGATAATCTCACTGAGTGCAGACTGAAGGACTCGACTCTAGATCTCCTAGAATCATAAAAGGTGTGCCTCAGGGCTCCGTCTTCAGACCTCAGGTATTTACAGTTATGGGTCAAAATGTTCCTAATGCAGGTTTACGTCTGTATGCAGATGATACTGTCACATCCTGCTCCACTTCAGTAACAGACTCTGTGTTACCTGATGATGATACTGAACAGCAACTGTCACGAATCTAGATCGATCTTAAATCCTGATAAAACTCAAAGATAAAGGTGCCGTCTACACCAACGAATACCATGATGTTATGAAAACACGTAAAAACTAGGGCTGTCAATCGATTAAAATATTAATTTAATCGCGATTAATCGAATTGTGATCATAATTAATCATGATTAATCGCAAATTGATCGCATATTTTTGATCTATTCTAAATCGATCTTTTTCAAATTGTTATACTTTTATCAACATAAGAATCAACATGAGAACAGATCGTGGATTTTCGTGGTAATGGTGGTCCTACAAGGTAATTCATATGTCCAGTCATTGCATCAGCTGTGTGCTTGGCCGACAAGTGATCCGTATGATTTCACGCAGACCAACGTCCTGCACAATGCTAATCGGCCGACAAGCGGTAGCCACCCATTTAGCGATTTCTGTTTCAAGTTTGCATTTAGTAGAGTTCTCGATCTGTTTACCTTGCACATTCAGCGTTGTTTGCTTGAGGCGGGGGGTGGGGGTCGGGGGGCTCTCTGCATCAGCTGTGCGCTTGGCCGACAAGTGATATTTGAGACTAGACGTACTCCGGTGGTAACTAAATTCAGCTCGACAGGAAACACAAATGACTTTTGTCCTGTCAAGAGAGCCATCTGGCAAGGCTTTGTAGCTGAACTCTCCGTTCAAAATAGTGTTCTTATCCGTTATATCCTAGTTACTGCTCACAGGGATTTGTTTATGTCTGCCGCGGTATCGGTCAGTGCTCTACTTCCTGATTCGCGAAACTACGGAGTACCCCGAGGCTCACATAGCCTGGACACCTCAACAACTGTTCCTCTACAACGGCAAGAATATCCACGCAGTGTGTGTATAGTTTGGTCAAGCCAGGCTAAGGCTTGCGTTAATCGTGCGTCAAAAAAATTAGTGGCGATAAAAGTCACTCGAGTTAACGCGACAATAACGCGTTAACTTTGACAGCCTTAGTAAAAACACATTTAAATATGGATTTAAAACGGTTTTAAGTAACAGTTCAGCTTGACTTTGACTGATCCTGCTGCGCTGATATAAACTAAAATGTTGTCTGAGATGAATCAGTTTGCATCGTCGGGAGGATTTCATCAATCACGATGCACATCTATTACAAACTTTACTCTCTGAGGACCTCGACTGTCCAGATCCTGAACATAAACACGCTAACACACCAACCCGGGTGAGAAGTCTCGGGCCTCGGAGGAGAAGCAGAAGCTCAGTTTTAGATTTCCCCAAGATTCCTGGAATCATCCTCGCCCTCATCGTCTTATTTCCCATCAGCCTCTGTGTTTGGTGCGGTAACAGCCGGCTCGACCCGAGGCTGTGACTGACTGACAGCTGATGGGCTGCTGCTTTGTCGTCTTTGTTTACAGCATCGACAGTTTTGCGTGTTTGATGGAGGATTAGAGCTCATTAAGAGAGCGAGGCAGGCGGCCAGGAGATGATTACAGAAGCACACAGACATCAGACTGTGAGCTCGCTCTCTCTGCACAACTCTGTGTTTGCTTTACACAATCTGCTCCTGATTCAGTCCTCCTATTTCACGCTGAGTTTCACTCTCGCTCATATGCAGTTTCTGTAAACCAACGATATTTTCATGTAAAGAGATTCCTCAAACTTCCTTCTTTATGAAGGAAGATTAAAAATAAACATCTGACCAAACAAAGTCGTGCATGATTTTCTCCGGAGCTTTGTGTCGTATTTTCCTCATGTCTGTTGTGCACGTGTTAGAAACCGTCTCTGTGTGCGGTGCAGGATTATTGAGAATCTCTGCAACCTGATGCTGTCAATGTTTTCATGCCCAGCAGCCGTGATGTGTAAAAGACAAACAGAGTCCAGAGGTGTGTCAGTCTTACGGGCGACACCAAACTTCCAGATTAGTTTTTGTCTTTGGAGAGTTTTTGCAGAGTGCTTTTATTTTGAAATCGAGTCCAGGACAGAAGTTACTGTGGTACTCTGTCGCTGGAAAAACAAGTTATTAATCACTTTAGCTTCATATTATTGTTTTTGTAAATCTCTCTTTGCAGCTGTTTCACAGTCAGTTCGTTTACAGTCTCAGTTTAATCGACTAAACTCATTATTCGTTTATTTCTCTGAATCAGACTTCTCTCCTTGTCCTCGTTAACATGCAGCTGAGAAAACTGAATTATTGACTTGAACGTGTCCTCCTCGCCAACACTAGGGGGCGATATGGGTCTTTTCAGCGGCGCTGTTTCCGACCCCATCCAACCGTCAACAACAGCAGCAGGTCGGTGTCAGACGTCAGAAGTGTCTACAACTGCTGCTGGGCATTTTGGAGAAACAAGAAGATGGAGCATCGTACAGCGTTGTTTTTGTCCGACATGATGGACGCGCTACTTTTTCTAAAGAGGAGACCAACGCTACTCCTCTACTCTGGGGGTTTGTTACGGGGTTATGGGGGCGTGGCTTCATACTGCGACTACGGTGGTTACATGGCAGAGAAAATCGAATTCCAATCACATTATCCGGGAGTTCTTAAACTCTGATTATAGTCGGACTAAGGTGTTTACATGACCTTCAGTTGTCCGGTCTTAATCGGAATACGGCGATAATTCGGTTTTCTCGAGTGTCATAGAAACTTACTGTATGATTTCTAATTCTACGTTGAAAGTCCAGTTGTCCTTTCCATGCGGAGATTCCCACTCCAGAGTCATGTGACTAACCTGTTGGACAACGTTGGTTTGAAATCATCTGAAAAAAACATAAAAATCTGTTTTATTTCTGATCATTTTAACCCTTAAATGTCTTTTAAACTTCGTCCCTCAGAGTTCGGAGTTCTCTGACTCCAATCGTAGTCCTCAAACTTAATCGGAGTAATCCGTTTTTCTTGAGTGTCATGTAAACATACTGAGCGTTTCTCAGATAGTACCTGTCTGTAAATTAAAGTCCTTGCAGTTCGATGTCTCCTATAATCTTCCGCTGGTTAGAATAATAAAAACAAAAACAGGATCACGATGCACCGAGTCGTGTTTTCACTGTGGTCAGTTTAGACTCTCATGGGTGAAGATGGAACAGGCGGACTCTGTTATTTGGGTTCCTGTCAGTGAAAATATGAATAATCGTATATCGTACCTTACCCAACCAGACCACTAGGTGGAGACACTCCAGTACGGTGACTTGTGTGTTTTAGTAGAAATCTTAAAAACCAGCAGTGTAAAAAGTAACACCCCCGCCTGCAGGATCATGACGTTTGATTGGTTTGAGTGACGTTGCACCGAAACACACTTTTGAATAATCGAGGGAGTCGGTTCAACACGCTACATCCTGCACGCCACTTTACGCACAGACTGTGCGCCGCTCAGCTAGCAAAAGGCCTGCTTGAGATGTGTTAGAGCCCAGAGTTTGTTCAGTAGAGACGCAGAAATGTCCGTTAAAGTGTAATTATTTATTTTGAAGATTAACGTTGAGAGGCGCTGATTTCACACATCTTAAATAAAACAGACTGAGTATGAAGCAGCAGAGACGTCATGTGAGAAACGCTGAAGTTTATGATCTCAACAAGAGTCCTGGAGTTTCAAAACAAAAGCTTCTCCTGAGGCTGAACAGGATTGGACAGCTTCCTAACTGACACACAGCTTCCTGTGAAACCCCGCGGCGAGGTGACGTCGTCGTGGTTTGAAGCTGCGGATCGGACGGTCCTCTGTCATTAATTCACCTCTGATACAAGTCAGCACAGGTGATCCCACACAGGTACGCAGCTGCAGGCGGAGGCTCACGGTCTCCTGCTGAGAAAGACAGAAGAGGAGGAGGAGGAGGAGGAGGAGGAGCTGTTTGTGGTTCTCCACCTGAGGAAGGGGGCGGAGACCGTTGGGTTCCCAGAAATGGAAAGTGTTTTAGGTTTATAATCTCAGTTCTCACCTGGTTCACCGGAAAACCCCCGAACTGCCCCCTCTGAAACAAGACCTGACTCTGAGACGGGATCTGGTCTGGATAAACGTGGGTGAGACTTTTGGGCTGGGAGACCCCGCCCCCCTCCATCCCATAGGGAACCGAAGTCATGCTAACCTCCGGGTTAGCATACGGTCCTATGGAGCCCATCAAAATGAATGGACAGATATATATAACTACTGGTCCGCTTTGGTATACGCCGTGGATTTCACATATAATGTTTATCATGTTTAAATTTACATTTTAACCTCGAAAAAGCCGTGATTTTAGACATGTTGCTATAACTACAGTTTAATTTAGAGTGAGACCACGTAATGAACTACACCGCTCGTCGCACTATTTTTGCGTCACTGTCTAAGCTTTGACAGACGACGATGGCGGTGACTTTGGCAAGTTTCACGTCCTTCTTCCAGGATGAAGGAAAGAGTATTAAACGTGGTGAAAACACTAATATATATATATATATATATATAGAGATAACGAGTTGACAGGAGTTGTCAGCTAGCTTTCGAGAGAGAGAAATACTGACGTGACGTCATTTACACGACTTCTTGAGGTCTGTAGTCTCTCCATTTACGTGTTTTCAAAGACAAATAGATCAACAATTACACAACAAACATAGCCTTTATTTACCTTAATGGTTATCATTTAAGTTAAAATACAACATATTTGTGACTCAGGGTGTAAAACAAAGCGGACCAGAAAATACCATAGACCTGTCCATTCACTCCTATTATCCCAATAGGACCTATAGCGCTAACGCGGAAGTGGGCGTGGCTTTGGTTCCCTATACTGGATCTGTAAAAACCCTCACTGGCGATCTCCACCTTCATCCTGATCGTCTCCTAAAAGGTCGTATCCTCCAATCATAGCTGATCGTAACCATTCAAGTTAACGTGTCAATTTACACCGACTTCTTTCCGTTCCTCTGCGGATCGCCGGACTCCTCAGCTGATCTCAAGAGTTCTATTTTTTCTGGACGCCGGAGCATGGCGGATAAATTCAGCACAGATTAACCCGTGCTGGAAAGGAAGTCGGGCACAGACACAAAATAAAACATCCGGCTTCTTTTCAAAATAAAGGAGGATCGTATTTCACACCAAAAATAGATGCTTCTTTAACGTCTTCCTGCTTAGACCACCTTTAAAGTAAACAGCTGAGACGACGGAGGACCAACCCAGAGCCGAGAGGGGAGGAAAAGGGGCGGGGACATGGACTTTCCAGATCCCTGATTGGCAGCCTTAGCCGGACCGATGAACCTTTGTGGTCCTGGATGTTGGAGGACTTGTCTTTTTAACCCCTCTAAAGTCACTCTCATGTGAGTTCGATCAGTTTCTCACACCTTTACGTCCACTCAGTGTCACAGACCTGTTGTGCGGTTTTCAACAGAGCGACTCGAACGCTCGTGTTTGTGGCGGTGATGTTTCTCAGGTACGGCGAGCGTCTGTGCGGCTCAGCTGTGTTTACCTTCACAAACTTTCACTAACTGGGATAAAAGCTTCAATCAGACAACAAATTGCTGCAGCAGGAGCCGCAACCCTCGCTACCGTTTACCTCGCCGTCGCTAATTAACCCCTCTCACCCGCTCACGCCAGACACTTTCCTGGCAAACGTGACGAATTTGATTCAAACGAGCTCTCTCTTCTCGTTAGCGCACCTGTGCTCTTCTGCGCCTAATTAAAAGCAGAATCCTGCAAATTTCTGCATCCGCTGACGCTAGCTCTGTTATCAAATACTGAGCAAGGTAGAAGTGTGCTAATTAATGTTAGAAAGAGGGTGGGATGCTCGCTCATTAGCATAACGCAGCGCAGGAAGAGAAACAACAGGACCTCCGACAGTCGTCTCGTTTCGGGCCCTGGAGACGTTTTAACACCCAGACTGGGTTCCTCCTCTGCTCCTGGTGTTCGTCTGCTTTAGTTAGACCTCGAACTCTATTCTGAGTCAGGAACCGGGTGTGAGATCAGATCCTGGCGGCTTCAAGGTGAATATTCAGTATTTTCTCCATGTGCAAATAATGTTTGATTCCAGTGATGCCAGCTGGGTGCTAATCACATTCAACACAAAGGAAAATTGAATATTGCAACAATTAGCAGGTTTGATGGAGACAGTCACACAGCCGAGCTGCAGAGCTTATATTTAACTCTAATAAATGACTAAAACAGTGTCTGAGGAATTGTAATTAGGCTCGGGGAGAGGTGTAAAGAGGGGAGAAACACTGCTGGAAACTAAACACTGAGTGAGACGGAGAATAATGTTCAGACGGGAAACTTAGAAACATCTACATCTGAAAGAAAAACTAAAAAAAAAATATATTTCTGAACTTTTTATGAGCTGGAACTGAATTCCTACAGATAAACACACCCGATCAAAGACGATCAATACATGCCGTCAAATATCAGAGACGTAACTTAAATAAATTATGATCAGATATCCTCAAACGTTAAAGAACGATCGTAATAAATAGATAAATGAGTCTGTGGTAAATAAAGTTGTTTTAGAGGAACAACCAAACAAAGAAAACATCCGGAGGAACATCGACAACTCATGAGGTGAACGTCCAACAGGTTAGTCACATGACCGGGTCTAAGGCGGACCTGCAGAGAGGCGGAGTCTCTCAGAAGGAAAGATGGGAGAGGTTCAGGACTCTGTGAGAGACGGCGTGAGCGAACGGTTCAACAGTTTGAGTGGATTTCATCGTCTACAGAACATCAGAGGATCCAGGACTCTGGAGTGGGAATCACCACATGGACAGAACAACTGGACTTAGTGGAGACGTTTCGCAAGTTAGTCCAGTTGTCCTTTCAACACAGAACTGAAAATCATAGATGCTGCATCACTTTAAACACCGTAGACGATGAATCAAAATGTTGTTATTCTTTTTGGAGATCATGGACTCTGGACCCTCCACTCTGAAAAGGATTATTAATTCAGGATCGATGGTGACTCCTCTGGACCCGGGTCCTTTCAAAGTGGACCTAATAAACCCTGTTATTGGAGCTGTAAAGTTTTGGGCGGTTGGTTTGGTTCTTGTGGCAGGTAGACCAGGTGGATCAGGTCCCTCCTTGTTTTCTCGGCTGTCGTTGTTGTTGTTTTCTTCCGCTTCATCCTGGTCCGGGTCGCAGGGGCAGCAGCTTCAGGGAAGTCTGTAAATCTGGACTCTGATAGTCTTCACTGACTCAGGTTCACCCCCAATCTCCACCGCATCCTGAACGTCTATGAAAAGGTCGTATCCGCCAATCGAAGGTAAACAAACGGGTCAGAACACTCTTTTGGAAAGGACAACTGGACTTCAACGTCGTCCTTGTGTTCGTTGTTTTCTTCCTCTTCATCCTGGTCCGGGTCGTGGGGGCAGCATCTTCAGGAGGGAAGCCCAGACGGCCCTCACCTCGGCCACTTCCACCAGCTCCTCTGGGGGGATTCCCAGGCGCTCCCAGGCCAGGCGAGAGATCTAATCCCTCCACCTGGTCCTGGGCCGGCCACGAGGTCTCCGCCCGGAACACCTCTAACGGGAGGCGTCCAGAAGGCGTCCTAACACCTCAGCTGACTCCTCTTGACGTGGAGGAGCAGAGGTTCTCCTCTGAGCTCCTCCCGAGTGTCCGAGCTCCTTCCCCTATCTCTAAGGCTGAGCCCGGACACCCTGAGGAGGAAACCCATTTCAGCCGCTTGTATCTGCGATCTTGTTCTTTCGGTCATTACCCAAAGTTCATGACCATAGGTGAGGATCGGCACGGAGATCGACCGGTAAATCCAGAGTCTCTCCTCACGGCTCAGCTCTTTCTTCACCACGACTGATCGTCTCGGTTGTTAAATTTTAAAACACGATAAATCCCGTCATGTTAAAAAAGTCCTTAGTTTTTCTCTGAGATCCACAGGACAGGTGCTGTCACACTCATCAGACTTCATCACCATAAAAGATTTTATGAGTGTCAATCACGGCGCTTTTATAGATGTTCTGTCAGTAATGATCTCAGGACTGTATGAAATGAATTCTCTTAAAGAGAGACGCTGAGCTGTAGTTTTTATTCAGTAAGTGATGACAGTCTCAGTCAGACGTGAATAAACTGTAAAACAGAGAAGATTTACGAGCCGCTGGTTAAAAACGTGAGGATGGAGCTTTTTAGTTTTGGCTGCAGAGCAAATTAAAGACGCGTGTTTGACTTCATCAAAGTGATTCATCTTCACATGAATTCAGATGGAAAATAAAGCTGCTGTCAACGCGGCAGTGTTGTTTTCGTCAGGCAGGACGAAAACTTAAATGACGACGTCAGACCCCTTTTTTCCTTGACGAAAATGAGACTAAGACGAACGTCACCAAAGCTCTGTAAAGACTAAAATGTGACGAAAATTATATTCATTTTCGTCAGACGAGAACGAGACGAGACTACATTGTTATTAGGTGGACGAACAAAGTTTCAAAACATGCTTTTTTTTTGTCCTAACAGTCACGCCCCCATCACACACGCACCAAAGCCTCACTCGCGCACACTCATACACATACACAGAGCGGCAGGTGGACGAGGCGCGCACACACACACACACACACACACACCGTGGCGGCAAGCACAGCAGCGGTGGCCGAAAAAAGAGGGATGATATTTGGTCCTACTTCAGATACAGTCCATGTGAGTCCAACACAATGTCTTGGACGGGGACGGGGAGACAGACGACAGTTGTGGAGCCACAGCTTCCTCATGCTGCGGCTTCAAACTGTCGGGAAAGAACACCACGAACCTCGAAAGGCACCTTTTCGTCGACTAAAACTAGACGAAAACTATCAAGGATAGAAATGACTAAAATGGGACTAAAACGAAGAAGCATTTCGTCAAAATGACGAAGACTAAAACTAAATCTAAACTGCCTGCCAAAAACAACACTGCTACGCGGTGATTTCCTCTCCAGAGTCTGAGTCTGTGTTCAATACCCTGAAGATCAGAACTGAAGGGATATTCCAGCGTAAAATTCATGACATGGTGTTCTGTGGAGGAGGAAATCCACTCAAACCGACGAACTGTTCGCTCACGCAGCCTCTCGGTCATGTGACTAACCTGATAGTTTGGCCTTAAAAACAGTTTTTCCCTCTTAGTCCTGACTCTTTTATTTCACTATAAATCTTCTTCTTCTTCTTCTTCTTCTTCTGTGGTTTCAACTTTAAATTTGTGACTCAGGGTTTCATCATCATCATCTTCAGGTTTCCCAGCATGCCTCAGTAAAAAGACATTAGTTAGTGAGCTGGGCTAATTTGTTTAAAAAGGCAGCACAGGTTAAGAGGAGGCCTCGTTATCCGGCTCCGTCTTTTCAAACCCTGACAGCGAGGACCCCCCCGCCCGCCCCCCGACGCCCCGCCCCCTCCTCTGCTTGTTTAGCTGCAGCCATGCATGCTTAAAAACGGGGAGGAGGACGGCACATCCTGCAAATTAGCAGGCTGATTTCCCTCGCGGGGTTTGGACAGAGGGTTCCCGCGGCTCATCGCCAGGCCTTAAACACTGAGGCGCGTCACAGTGGCTGAACAAGATGGCCGCCTGCGATTCAAAACGCTCCAGCCAGTGTTTTTACAAGCGGGGATTACCCAAATGTCCGCCGCACGGTCTGTTTACCTCTGCAGCAGGGAAGGACCAGAAACTGGAGCTCAGAGCCGATGGGAAGACTGAGGGTTCAGGGTCTGATGTGAGGCCAAGATCTCCAGGATCCGGTTTCTGGTCAGAACACACAGATCCGTGAAGTTCTGAGGGGTCT